AATCAATTATTAGGTTCATGGACTGACCAGCCATCCAGCATCTTATTTATAACACAGCATCAAAGTTGTTTGTAATTTAGATGAATTTACTGACCGCGACTGCTATCGTCATCCTATCGCTTATTTCAGTAATGTCAAACGAAGGATTCTGATAGATGCAAGTGCAAAATGCGTTTAAGTTGTTGCTGAACTGTTACTGAATACAAGTCAGCTGGATCAAACAGATAGCAGTCGTTTAGTCACGCTCGTTCCTTCATGTTTAAATTGTGAAAAGATCAGTAGCCTCGATCAAGTCTGAACCCACGCCGTCTGCGCTTTCGTACAACTAATATAGTGGAAATTAGTGTTACAAACTGTTCTGTGCCCCTCCCCTCCTCCGCCCCGCCCCCTCGTTAATCTGTACAGAGAGAGGGGAAGAGTACTTCATAAGATTCCATTTTGTCGGGGCATTTAATCCAAGCCCTGTTGCTCATCTATTCATAAGAATCCAAAATAGACATCGAATCAGTTCAGAATTGATCACGAGCAACATCATTGTGCATGAATCTAGGGGCCCTGATATATGTCCTAGCAATATTTTCATTGAACTTTTCATCATCCAGTCCATAATTAACTTTAATATCTTTGCTGTTTATCCTGATCGCTTGATCTTCGAGCATCTCATACCAATAAAAGTGATTCGAAATGATCGGAAAAGAGTGAATAGAATCCATTGAATGCAAATTAAGATCAATACCAGCGGAAAAAACTCAAAGATTGGTATGCAGCTATTTGTTTCATGCATTTTATGAACGAAAATGACCGTCCAGGTAATATGAGCTTGCTGTTCAAAGAACGTCTTCGTTCTGGTATGAGTGAATTCATTTCTCAAATCAGGATTCCTCAGTCGAAATATATTCTCGCCGAAGTAAGAGGCGACAAAACACTCACCCAATCCCTAATGCCGGAAATAATGCTGTGAATGTTAGAGTATTGACCGTCAACCGAACGGTAATGCCTTTCTTCTCACGGGGTACGAATGCGAATTTCGATTTGATGAATTCGTGAATGCGCTAGTAAGGGTACACACTTTCGTATTTTCATCCACCAATCCCCAACCCCTCCTATCCGTGTTCAAGTGACACTATGCGAAATGTCACGGTCTTCGAGTCGCGAGTGTTCAGTGGCACAGGGTTTTACTCTCGACTGTATGGTTCTGTAAAAACCGATGCGTTGCGAGAAAGAGTCGTTCTTGCTCGTTTGAAGGATCGTGGGGAGGGAATGAGAAAACTAAAGCGTTTTTGCCCGAAGATAGAATGAACTTTTTAATTCGAAAATAGATGTTTAGCAACTTAGTATTGGAAAATTGATCGCAGAACAGCAGAACACAACAAACAATTGGGATTCACAAGTAGCTTTTCTGTTCTAAACATCACATATTTCATATATGCCCGTTTTTTTCTTTTATTCTACACCTTGGTATAACTATAACTACGGTGAATCCGAAAGTGTTAGGTCGAATACTAAACCCAATGATAGCAAAATCAACTACCACTAACTGTAAGTGGCCTGTGACATGGTTTGAACCCTACAGTGAATAATTCGGAGGAAGCCAGTGACAGAGAATGAAGCCACTTGTATACACTATCCAGTTGAATCCGATGATGGGTTCATATTTTCAACCTCGCGCGTGTAGGAAACAGGATGTCGCTCAGCTGTCTTTCATGCTCAGATAATGGGTCGGTCCATACATCAGTCTATATAGCCCTGTCCATTGCTTCTGGTTCCTCACACGAATGGGCCTACTGCGTTTTCATAAAGTTATAACTGATAGATTACAGTGAGTGGGGTCCTGATCACTTGAGTAAAGCGATCCTCCCGCCGGACAGCCTTGAAAGCCTACAGCTGTAGCTAATCAACTAGACGTTCAGACCGTTCATCTCTGTGCGGAAATGACTCGTAGAAAAGCTGCTGACTCGTTTGCACAGTAGATGAGTGTGGTGTCGTTAACCAAATGGAGGGGGTGGGGGGTGATATTATAGCGAGAAGTCGAGCTGGCTGGGAAAAACGTCTATTGATCCCATTGAAAAGCAAACGGTGTATGCGTTCGAGTATGTGTAATCAATTCTCAACCGCGCGGCGGGATGATTCATGCCTCTTTCTGTGGGTCATTCCTTGTTGGTTTTGGTCCGCACTCGGCACGTACGTTGCCTCTTCTTCCGCGTGCCATTCCGACTGGTTTGATCCGATTGCGGCGCGAGATGCGTTGATCGACAGCTCCAAAGTTGTGATATTCGGTGGATATCTTTCCCGTTAGCTGCGGAGTGTCTGTCGGGCTGTAATTGTCGATTTACTCGTTTCGAGTGGCAGTCAACATTGTCTCAGCAGGCACTTCCCGCCGATGCGTCTGCGCGTCTGGTCGGATGAGCCCCATTCTTGATTCGGTCGCTAGCTAGGACTCTCTTTGTACCGCCTTCCATCACAATATGTCAAGTTGGTGTGATCTAGAATTTTGTCCCGGTTATAATTTCATTTGTTATATGCATCGTATGAACCTAAAAGCGGTGAATAAAATCGAAGAAGTTTGTCATCCTCGACACGGTAAATAGCATAAAGTGGTGATCTGTTTACCTCCTGCGAAGGTCTCCTTATTCTCAACATCCACACATCTTTGAGACAATACAGTGTTTGGTGTCTGAACCGATACTCAACTGCGGCGAAATAGAGGGCACAACGGAAAGAACACATAGTCGGTATCAGTAAAGGGGTTTTCTGTGTTCGTATACACGGGAATGAAGTATGAGCTAAGTGAGATCTTTGAACCAAGCCAATTATCCAAGAAATCGACGTTGCGTATCTAACTATTGATGCGTCAAACCTAACTAATTTAGTCTCTAATACATGGTTAATGTTTTCAGTGGTACCCTTTGCAGGTGCCATAACGGATATTCTGATTGCAAGAATCACCTGTCGTTCAAACGTGCTCTCACTTTCTTCTGTTTAATGGTTAAGTTATAACCTTTGATTCTGAAAATTGTTTTAATTTCAAATGCAACTAACCACTTCACTCACATCCAAACATGTTTACCGAATATTAATCGTATTCATCAGACTCAACTTTCATCTTAATACTAGAAAGTATGGGTATTCTAACCATTTTTAAATTATGACCACTGCAAACCATACGAATGTGGTCAGATATTTGACGGTTTCCTTAGTTTTTTCTGATATGAGGATTTTTTTATTTGCTAAGCGAATAGTGGGAATAAAAATGAGGTGGTGAATGTACTCTGGTCATTGCGAAAACAGAATGCTTTTTTACAATATTGCGGCAACTGTTCGTCGGGTACGTTTAAAGTGACCTCAAAAAAATCAACAAATACACGCGTTTACCCGCGGTTCGGGTTACCTGGTGCCCACGGTTGGTTGTACTATATTTTCAAGGTACACTGAGAAAGCTATTAAGAAATTGAACAATTGATTTGAAGTGACCATCTTTCGGACTTCACCTTCACGCACCGTCCTCGGTGCATCCAGTCAGCCATACACTCGGAAGCACTAGACTCGAGTTTCACTCTTATTAAAACTCATCAGTAGTGCATATTCAACGTCCCGTTAAGTCCGAAGGTTAGTCTGTACTAATCAATGCCAGTTATCTCACGCCACTACTTCCAGTTAACTGAGTTAAATGCGAACAAGAGAAGAACTGTTTTCGGTGATTCTGAATAGTGCGCTTGGAGCTCATGCAGTAAAAACATCTTACACGTTGAAAGACATGCTTTCTTTAAGGTCATTCATCTGATCCAGAAGCTGCGGGATTATTGATCTCTTTCTTAATCTTTCCATTTGATTTCTTCTTATTGAATATATGATAATAGTGATACAATTTTCAGGAAGAGGGAAGCGGCCTATCAAAGGACTGTCATACAACACAGAGAATCGGAAAATTATGGCAGGTTGATGAAATTCGAAAACACG